ACATTACCCATTTCCGACGGCAGCATAATGCTGCCGTCGGAAATGGGTCCGTCTCCACTATGGACGTCTCGGTATCATCCGTCCATAGTGGAGACGGATGATACCGAAATCGTTGTTTATGTCATTTCGAAAAGGCTAATGAAAATACTTTCTTGATAAATTTGACGAGCGTCGTGGGCGAACCAACCCGGGGGGTGCAAGGCATGTGTTTTGACCACCCCTCCCCCTGAAACAGCCGCCACTGTGCAGGGCAAACACTGGCCGGCGGCGCCCAAGGGATACCAAGGGCACCACCCCCGGCCCTGGGATGGCGGGGGGGGGGGGGGGGGGGGGGGGGCGTCTGGTTCGCCCCCCACTTAAAAACAAGTTGGTACGCCACTGACGAGCGTGAACAGGGGACAGAGACACGTGAATGCCTCTGTGCCCTGCTTGTGTTCTGCTTTCTTCGTATTGAGACTTTCTTACTTTTATTAAATGCTGCTTAGAATGAATTTTTAGCGTTTACAACAGACAAAACGCGCATTAGTTTTTCCCTAAAAAATCAGCCGCAGCAACAACAAGCGACCGCGTGATCCGGTGCCGATTATTTGCCGCCAATGTTCATATCCACGCGCTGGAGTTAGCAATGAACCGCGTTTGCGCAGAGCCATGCTATAGTAAGAGTTCGGCTATTCCCGTAATCACAGCGTTTGTACATGACTCTCAACCGAAATGTCTGCCAGGGCACTATGGGAGTGATGGCGCCCATGGCTAGTCGTCTTTTCGAGCCCCTGTATGGGTGAATGGATGGAGGAGGGCTAATAGCTGTATCCGTTATAACGGGCGGTAGCTTGCGCCACCTAGCTTAGATTAAGATGCGGATGGCGATGATGATTTTGTGTAAAATCTCGCGTGTCCACGAAAGCAGACTGGCTGTGTTCCAGCAAACCCATTTTAATGCATTGCGCTAAACTCATATGAAAGGAAGTAATCCAAACAAGATCAGCTCCTGTCAAATCACCTCCTAATCCTCGCCTGACGCCCGCGTTTTGCGACAAAGAAAGGTAGACATTTAAAAATTGTACTAGTACTCTATAAAACAAAAAAAGCGGGCGAGTTTGCTTGATAAATCGTGAAGTAACTTAGATTAATTTACACAGTTACTGTAAAAAATTTCTGTTTAGGTTTCAGACACTTTATTTACCACGTTCAATTATTTACGAAACAAATATAACGCAGGAATTAATGCATCGTGGCACTGCATAGAAACTACAACATAACTTTTCTTGCCTTCGCTGAAGCGAATTGGTCCACAACGTCATTTCAAGTCAGTTTGTTCGGTTTCTTCTCTTTTTACACTCAAACGAGCGAGTTCACAAAGCCTGTCCTGACCCATGGAAGCCTCTCCAGTCTTAGAGACGCTGAGTCCGCATTTTAAGCTATGCAGCTGCCTTAGCAAACAAGGTGCTCATCTGACGCTGTTCTACCATTTTTTTCCTATAGGGAGTATTCACTAGACGCCATATTTGTGGGTGCTGTTTAGAGCACATGCTCAGAACGAGCTCATATCAATAGGCTGCTAAGACCGGCACTCTTGATGGTGCGGAATGCACGTTGCAAAAGAACTGTGGAAGCTCGCCATCAGCACGCGCTCAGCATTCACGCACACAGCTATGGCCGCCAGTGAATACTCCTTATACCTGCACGAGCTGTGAATTCATCGTATTGTCGCGAAGTTTTGCTCACGCGAGTGTTTAGTCTAGCTTCACTTTATGTTTTCGCCTTCTCTGGGAGTTCTTTCCGTCTACACGGGACGGCTGTTGGATTCCACCGGAGTCGGGGGGCCCCAACTGGGGGCGAACGTGAACGCTGTAACGCTACACTTAGTTCAAAGAACCCCGCGTTAACGTTTTGTCTTGTGCATGTCTGCTTTTGGGATCTCTACTTCGGAGGTGGTTTTGCTCTGTGTATGTATAACTTCTCTGTCTACGAGCCAGAAGGCAGATATTCAATAAACGTATTAACCAACCAACTGTAAAGGACTTGGCGCCCGGATACCAAGCCTTGGACATCTCCCTGCCTCTGGAAGCCAACCTGCACGTCCGACCCCCCTTCGGCTGTGGAGTGGTCCGCCCGCTAGCTCGCAAACTTGGTCCCCCTTACGGCTGTGGAGGAGTTCGGCTCGCCCGCCTTTGTGTGGAACCTTGTTTGTCGAGTTTGGCTGTGTTCGGGGTCCCCGCTGAGGGTGTGTGTGGTCAGGGAGGACGGCAGGGAAAGTTTCCTTAGATTAGGATTATTCCTCCCAACATTAGCTGACGAATCGGACATATCCGTTGTAAAAAAATTCATATCGGATCACTTGAATAAGCAGTTGTATTTGTTAACATCAGTAACCGTTTCATCAACGGAGAAGAGGAGTCCTGATTTTCTATGTTACAGTATAATGATAACAACTGGTTCGACGTCGTCAGAAATAACTCCAGGGAAGGTCCACGTCTGCATAAGCTTCATTCTCAAGTCAAGGCTGGGGTTACCGTGGTCACACTGACGCCTGTGATAAATACTTCCTCGTGGACTGACTTCAAAAATCAAGGCCCCGGTCAACAGCTTGTCCCGGACTCACGGTGGCAATCTTGAATGCTAAAAAACTTTTTATTTTTATTAAAATGGGATTGACGAAAGGGATAATAAAGTTGCAGAGCTAGCTGACCCGAGGAGCAGCATGTTGCTGTCCTGCCCAGTTCATCTTTTACTGAATGATTCAAAGCCCACCACACAAACAATAATTATGCTCTGTGTCTTACAAATTTAATAGTGTAGAAATTGAAACGCGCTACGAGCCAGCCTGGGATCCCAGCATGCTCATCAGTGCTCTAATCATATACCAAACGTTATATTTCTGAGCTTATATCAGACTGCTGAATCCTGTACCTCATCATAAGAAGTAAACATATCTTGTAGGTTATTCAGAATAATCACACTAGAAATTCTACCACATTATAGAACTGGCAAAAAAAAATCTTATAATTTTTTCCCCGCTAAGGTACAAATATTTAGACGTCTGTTTTGTGGTGAAAACGTCATGCCAAGCCGTCGAGTTATTCTTTTAATGGCATGATGATTGGATTTTCGGCAAGTCTTTGGAACTAGTGCTCTTTCATTACCTCGTTCTGAGAGGTTCATGGTATTCCAGCAAACACTTTAGCCCTCCTGAAGAATTAGCCTTTACTGCTCAGCGCTCCAGCAATGCTGAAAGGACTAGTCGGTTTGACGCATTTTGTACGGAAGACGCAGTTTTTCCCTTATCATACTCGGGAACAACTTCCTGTGAGGCCTCAACGACGACAGGAAGAGCGCACGAGCACAGCTTTATGCGCGCTCAAGGGGCACGAAAGCACGCACTACTACGCCCCCGACCGCACTACAACAAAAAGTTCAGTTTTCTTTCGTGCCTTCCACAGTTACTGTAAAAGTAAGGGCGGCAAGGCGTCGCTTTTGGGTCATTACCTTCCGTCGTGCTTTGAGTGGGCGTGCACGCACGAAGCTTACAAGACGCCGAAGCGTTATTAAAAGCGGGAAGCTCGCGCTGCACTCTAAAAAAAAAAAAAAGAAAAATGTATCACCTTACACCCTTTTGTCCCATATAATGCACTTCCAAACTTAAGTTCGACGTGCAGCGTACTATAATCGAACAGACGGTTCCAATTTTACGAGAAGCTTGATAACGGTGGGATATAACCTATTAAATAGCTAAAGTACGTATCAAAGACAAAAGGAAGAAAGCACTGAGGTTTGGCAGTAAGGCCAAGAAAACCCCGATTATTTTTTTTTAGTTATTACACGTACAATTAGCTATTTTAATAAGTTGTACCACACGGCTATCAGGCCTCTCGTGAAAGTAAGTACCGTCAGATCGATGTCAGTGCACTGTACGTCCAACTGAAGTTTTGGGGTGTATTTATATGTGACTAAGGGTGTAAGAATACACCTTTTTTTCTGAGAGTGTGGAAGCGGGACAGCCTAAAAGACCTCGCTGCCAACCATTTTCATACAGTCAGTATCTATGACAAAGCATGTCCCACACAAAACACAACGCATACTTTTTCGGGGAGCATTTCAGGAGCGGCAGACGTCTTCCATCCATTGGAACGTCGCTTTTTGCCTGCGTTGGAAGTCCTCGCTTCCACGGACCTCCGAGACGAGAGTGGCTAAACGAGGGCCAGCCCCTCACGACGCCGGACAAAGCCTCTTCGAAGATAAAGACGCGTCCTTCTCCCCACCGCAAACAATCAGCACAGACGGTGTAACGAAGTACGCACACACACAGACCGCGCAAAACGTCGCGCCTTCGCCACCACCGCACGCAGGCGCCCCGCGACTCCGCCGTGTCAACAAGCCGGGCCCACCACCCTCCCCCTTTAAAGCAAACAAGGGTGGCGCGCAGGCTACATCCGAGCAAACACAGGACACCGGCCGCACCTCCCCCCCGGCATCTCGATACGGTGGTGGGCGCCCGACACTCCTCGTCACTGCCTGTGTCTTTCTCGAGAGCGGCAGCCAGTTTCAAATCGCTCGAGTACTTCCAGATTGAGCTTCTTCGTCAGAGAAGCACCGAAGCCGTCCGTTTCTTCCCTCTCTCCCAACGTCCTCTCCCTCGAACGTAGCTTGCTCGTGCCACCACAGTGTGTGACGTTGGGACGGCTAACGTCCGCACGATAGCCGGCCAATCAGAATCGGATACAGCGGGAGCAGAACGCCAAACTGTGCATGACGTCACCCAACTGCCCACCCCCCTCTCAGGTTCACCCCTCCACCGGCATCGGTGTCGGTGGCACCTGCACCTGTATGTCATAGGTATCTGCATACGGCACCGGCTACCGGTGCAAACATTTTGAACAGGTGCATCTCCCGGCGTCCTGGGGGGACCGTTACACCGGTTCTTCGCAGTCTCCCAATTGTGCGTTGGAGTTGCTAACGTTGTGCGGCGGTTCAAAAAGAGGTTCAAAGCTCGAGCGACTCACAGAATGACCATTGAAGCGCGCCAGGATCACAGCGACGAGGCAGCTGGCAGGCGGTCTCGTAGAGCAGGACGGTGCGACGACAACGGAGTCCTCGAGCGCGCGTCCACGGAGGTTCTCGCCGCGAGAGGAGAACAGAGCCCGGCGCTCGGACACCGCAGCGGAGCAGAACACACAAAACACACAGCACACTGCGTCACCCGGCGGCGGCGGAGGAGGCAGCGGAGGCAGAGAATGGATGCGCCGTCCTCTTCTAGCGGCGGCGTGAGGCGACGGGCGAGACGGCTGCAGCAGCGGAGGGCATCGGCGCTCCCGAGAATGGGCCGCCTGCGACACTTTGTCTCGCGCTCACAATGCGCGCGGACGAAACAAGCACCCCGACGGGGGGCGCAGAACGGCGGAAAGCTCGCGCAACGGGGGCGGAGCCGCGCACTACCATTGGTCGGAGTCGCTTCGTGACGTCAGGGACGACCGGCGCGGGAAAGGCGGGCGCTGAGGCGGCTTCGCCACGTGACGTCGGTTCCGCGTCGGCGCGTGCGCCCCGCGGACTCTTTGTGCCGCTCGGGGCGCGCGCATTTTGCAGATGAGGCGCGCGCGCGTGCTCTCGGCAGACGCTGGGGTGAGGAGCGCGCATCGAGGTGCGCTTGCACGTACTTGCACCGGAGCGCGCGCGCCCGCGCTGCGTCGGTGGGGGTTTCGGGTGTCGGACCGGCGCTGAAGGTACCTCGCCTCGCGGAGGCTGGGACGGTCGGCTTCGCCGTAAGTTCGCTCTTTGAACCTGTTGCATCGCTTGCGGTGCATTGCATTTAAAAGGAAACTAATACACTTCTTAAAAAAAAAAAAAGAGAGCTTGATTTTAGTGTAGTTTTATCCCGTGAATTAGGCACCACGTTAGTTTTTTTTTCCCGGAAGATGTAATTAAACGCGATAAAACACGGAAAATCCTCTGATCAGTCGTTACGTCATAAGAGGATCTTTCGGCCGCCAAGCGCGTGTCGTTCGAAGGCCGCGCGTGCAACCACAAGTATGTCAGGTATATTCCCCTGCACTGGCACTAGTCGGGACGTCTTTTCCTGCCTTTTTTAAAAATAGCAAGAGTGCGCGTGCACAGCTTTGATAGGCACTGAAGATGTGCGAGAGTGGAGATTCTGCGAAGACCCCGTTTTAACGTCACGCTCCGGGAAGGAGGGCCTTCAGTGGTACTTTCATGATAATTTTCTGCAACCTCCATGCGCCAAATTAGAATACAAAAATTGATATTCGAGATTCTGGACGTTAAATGTAGACGATCTAAGTGGGTTTCCTCAAATACAAAACGGCTTCAGCTTCCCTTTAATAAATGCCCGAGTTCTGAGAGCTCGTTTGTGCTGTTAAGCTGGTGGTCGGCGCATATCTTTGTGCACGGCTCGGGTGGGCAGCCGAAATTCACGAGTCATTCATTGCAACAAACTCAGAATTTAACCAAAAAAACAGCTGAAAATAAATATTGCACATGGAGTGCGCAGCGGCAGGACCAGTACCACGTCCTCTAAAGAACTACGGGCTGCAGATACTTCGCAGACACTGCGCGAACTGTTGAATTTCTTAATCGAGGGAGGCGTTCATACGAAACCTGCAAACAAAAAAGGTGGTGTTTTTTTTTTTTTTTTTTTTTTTTTTTCTGAGTGTATTTGTCTTGATTATAACTTAATATTTTCTGTTAAAATATTTGTATTACTTTCCTTCTCGTCAAGTCGCCATATGTGAGGGCCAGGGGCAAGCTATATTAGTGCTGCGTTTTCCCGTGAAATAAATTGAATTGAAATAAAAACTTAAAGTAACGAGTATCGTAGAAATTAATTTATTTTGCGTGGGAGGCACAATGGGATGACCATTGTGACTTGGGACTTCCGGAACGACACAATATATGTTTGCAACGTTCTTCTATCCTCTACTCAGAGGGGGGGAGATGTGGCACTTTCGCAACTGAGCGCTCAAATGAACACTTCGAATCAGAATTGCATTACTGGTCTACAACATATAATACCTTGATAAATAAAAACAGAACTAAAGCTAGGATATTTTGTCTAAAAAAAAAAGGCCCTTACCAGTGTTGCCAATTTAGCGGTTTTCCCGCTAAACTTAGCGGTTTTTGGCTCTGTTTAGCGGGATAAATTATTGTTTTGCGGGCGGCGGGATTTTTAGCTGGTTGTATGTAATCTTTGCGTTTTTTTTAGAGATATAGAAGTTTTATATCGATATACTGTCAACTATGCATCTGTCATATCCCTATTCAGCCACAGTCATCTTTGCTTACTGTCAATAATGTTCTGGTCAGTGAGTAACGCCTGTGACGTTATCAAAGCATTAAGACGTCAAATATCGGAACATGCCTCCCTGTTTCGTGCGCGCATGTTTGAACAGCATGAATGTTCCAATGTTCCCTTGACGTTTCTGTCACTGCTTCGTAAAATGGGCCGGGTGAAGTCCGCTCAAAAGCTTATAAAGACTGGCTACAAGACCCCAGACTTAAGTACTGGCTACTGGAGGTTCCTGGTGATAGCAGACGAGCCAGGTGCCGCTATTGCAGAACGGAACTATCTGCTAAGCACGTGGATTTCGTCACGCCGCTGCACCTTTGTCCTCTGGCAGGCAGATGACTCTACGAGCTGAACGGAAGTCTGACCAGTCACGCGCTGCTGATGGGTCCCTTGCCATGTTTGCATGCGCTCACTCGGCAATTTTGGCTTCGAGTCACCTGGGTAAACTGTGGCGTGGCGTGACAGATTTCTAGTCATAACAAAAGGAAAGCTTCCTTTCAGATGACATTGATATGATCTATACCAGGGGCCACAAACAAACGAGCCGCAAACAAACGCACAAAACTTCCAAGAGCCGCGGGGGGGGGGGGGGGGGGGGGTGCAAACTTTTGTCCAGAGCAATAAACGCAACTCGAACTACTTTCAATCTATCCGAGTCAAAAGCAGTCCAACTGTACGTAAAGTAGAGTAGCACATGACTACCAAACCGCTAACTGTCTTTCGATTTAAAACGCGTTCCATTTCTCTTTTTGGGGAAGTGCCCGTGTGACTGGGAGGGAGGCCGAAGTGGGGGGGGGGGGGGGGGGGGGGGGTAAGGGACGGAGTTGCGAGCCGCATTTTAACACGCGAAGAGTCGCAGCTTGGCCACCCCTGGTCTATACTGTTATTATACCTTCGGGCAAGAATTAAAGCAAAACAAAAATTGTTAAAAAGTCATTTTTTTATGTGTTTTGAATTTGGCGGTTTTTAGCGGTTTTTGGGCAGTGTTGCCAACTAAAAAAATTAAAAAACTCAGTCGGAATGACTGCGGGTTTTAATTTTTTGAGTTGGCAACACTGGCCCTTACTCTTTTCAGCGATATTATTTTATGCTCGTCCCTTATAGAATATGTAAAAACGTTCAAACCTTCCGTTTTTTTTTTTGTTTTTTTTTTTCATATCACATGTCTTGGACAGAGCACATAGATAAATTCAGTGCTTAAAGTCAGGGAGGGATCTCGGGGGTCTTGAACCCCACGCCGATTTTGAAGGGCGGTCCAAGACCACCCTTCTAAATAGCTCTGGTGTTGGTGTTGGTGGTGTTGGTGGGGCCATAGCTCTGGTGTTAGTGAAAACACATCTTGTAATCACAAATGTTAGGATTTTCAATACAAAGATTTTGGTGGGTAGCCATCTCCAAAGAGATAAAAACAATGTTGTGAATACCCATGTCAATATCGTGTGTAACAAAATGGTAAATGTTTCAGGGACACTAATTATTCTTGACAAGAAAATTAATCAAAACACACGCTATTGGTTAGTTTTGTTTTCCGAAAAACATGCCGGGTTACGTATACATTTTAATCAAGTCAGTTTTACGTGCATCTAATACAACTGTCCCGCTTTTTTTAACTTTTACTGTTGGTTTGCCAGGCCGTTAAGAGAGAGCGAAGAAGAGGTCATCCCTTCCCCTCAATGCCGGGTCAGGTGCCTCCCACCATATCAAAAAGACCCATTCGCCGAGGCAGTTTATGCGGTAGTGCCCCAAGTATACACTTTGGCCAGGGGCATTTTATTTTGAGGGATATTATTGAACAAATTATCATTTCTTTCCTCACCCCACCAGAAATGTTCCCCTGGCGCCCGGGCCAAACGAATCCCGCACAGCCGCCCGAAGCTGCATCGTCGGACGGGTCTTTCATAATGGTGGAGACTGTACAAGTGCCACCACGGAACGGGCGAATCGGTGGCCCAGTGTGTTAACGCTCTGAGCACGTAGAGCGAAAGCTCGCGCCGCTGCAGAACGCAGGGACCCTGGGTTCATTCATCTCCCTTACCCCTTCGGATCTGGATGAGCATCGCATACCGATGTGCAGTCGTGTAACACGCGATGCACGTTAAAGGCTAGCGGCGGTACCGAACTGTCCAAATTTCTTGCCAACAGCGGAGACACCATATCGCCCATTGGGACACACTAACTTCACGCTGACTAAACAGACACGCAAAACAATTGCTCTCACGCACCGAACGCTGAAAATACGGTTATTTGAAAGAACTATAGGACCAGCCCTGCACGCCACACTCCATCGGATCACCCACGGAGCACGCCGAAAGGCGAAACCGCTCGGTAGCAACGCTCGGGCCGAGAAGAGGCCGGGCGGGAGTACAACAGGGTCTTCACGACTCGGGAATCAGACCGATTCGGAGTCGTGCAGCTCGTTAACACGCTCGCCAAAACGATTTCGGGCGAGGGGAAAAGGAATCAAGAGCGGCCGCCGTCTTCGCGGAAAGCAAACTCGAAAATAAGGCAACGCAGGCAGGAGATGTAGCGACGGGCCCTCTCCTTCGTCAAGAGCGGTTTTCTGACCCTTCACGTGCGCTCTCATGAATGATCGGACTGGAATCCTCGCCCTCCCACCCACGACAGACCACATGCAATCTTGAGCCCTTCTAAAATTAGTCGATGGATGCGTACAGAGCCACTGAATAATATATCCTATTCACTCGGTGATTTTATGGCTTGTAATTTTTCTAAACGCATACCCATTAACCCTTTCCCTACCATGGACGACCTGGGTAAGTCCACACTGTTTTTACCGCTCCTCCCGAAAACGAGCTGGGCTCGTCCACATTGATTCGGGCTCCAATACGCTACCATGGACGAACTGGGATAATCCGCGTGTTTATAGTGAGCCTTGCCGTTGATACATGGCGCTTCACGGAAAATAAAAACCTGGTAAATTTCTGGATTTGGCAGAAAATTGTTCCAGCGCAGACAACAGGGGATTTAAAAATGGCGGCGTCAACTTCTGGTCGCTGCGTTCGTAGTGACGATCTTGCCTCAAAATTAGGGACAAAACGAAGGTATTGTGACGTCTCCT